CCGCGCGGCGCGGTCGCGTGCAGCTCTCTTGGCTTTTTGCGCAATCCTGTAATTGCGCTTTGGAATACAAGTACAACGCAATTTCTTTATGCGGATAGCATTTTGGGTGCTGAAAAATAGAACTGAAGATGATGACGAGGCGTAGAACTCGAGAAACAACTGTGGTGCCTCTGCAATATCTCGAAAAGCGCGCATTTCCACACAACATGACAATAAAAACGGCCCTAAGCCTTCTCACTCATTAGTTTGAAGTATTTCTATAGCTTAGAGCCGGATTTCGAGCCGGATCGCAGAAATGTCACGTGATTTCAATTAATTGCGTTTACTTAGTTTTTTCAGTTTTGTTTTATTTACATCTACAATCGTTGTTCTTCATTTCCAGCCCTTCTCATCTTCATCACCTTCTATTCGGACTTTGAAGCATGAGCAATACCTCAAATCTTAGGGAATTGCGTTTTGCTTGTATGTCATGCTTTATTGTCATGTTGTCCATTTTATTGTCATGTTCTGTGGGAACGCGCGCGCCTCTGAGGATACTGCCAGAAGCACCAGAGTTGCTTTGAAGTTCTGGCCCTCGTCATCATCTTCGTTCTTATTTTGCAGCACCTAAAATGTTATCCGCATAAAGAAAACTGCGTTTTACTTGTATTCCAAAGCGCAAGCACAGGACTTGCAAAAAGCCAAGAGAGCTGCCACGCGGACCGCGCGCGCGGCCGTGTTGGTAAAAACGTGATTTGCGAAACGGGCGGCGTAGCAAGGAATTACGACTCTCCCACGGCCCGTACTCTGACCCCTTGCAGCTTTAGGCGGAGGGACCACGAAAAATTGACAGCTGGGGGCTGATAGTCTCATACACCCTCAATGTGTCTGAGCGTACCATGTGTCTTCAAAGGGACGCTCGCAAGCGGATGGCGATCCTCGACCAAACTTTGAGCCGTTCGCCTCTGAGCTCTTAATAGAATGCCCGCTTGAGATACGCTAGCGGATGGCGATTATTGACCTTGACTGGACTTATCGCCTTAGCAGAGTAGAATGGCCTTCTTACTATTAATCACTCAATCACTATTCATAAGTTTAAGTTTTCAATTTCTTGAAAGTACTTTTGTTAGTTGCTGATAGTTGAATGGATCGAGAGCCATCACCATAACTTTCTTTCCTTTCTTTCCCCGCTGCTTCGGCTTGGAAATCGGCTCGGAAATGTGAGGAAATTTGATTCTTGTTTAGCCAGTGGCAAGAATGTTGCCGGTCCTTGTACTTAGCCAATTTGAGTGTGCAGCAACAGAATCATCCGGTGCATCGTGTGGGTTGGGCCTGTGACATCGCAGCAGCAAGAAGACGACTCGTGCATCTGGCCGTTTAAGAGGGATATTGGAGGGATGGTAAACATTGAAGAACACAAGATCGAGTTCGTTGTGTTCACTTACGATTGAGTCTCCAGTTTTTCTTTTTTTTACGTAGAGAATGAAAAAGTTCATTAAACATGAACTTCATTAGGATCTTTAACATTTGCTCTGGTGTGTCATCTTTCACAGCAGCTCACAGGAAAACTGACCATTTATCTATTAAATGTTGACGCTGACGACTTGCGCGAATCATGTGCACCACAAAGCATAGGGAAGAATAACTGCCTTATTTGATTTTTTTGTATTTTTATTTCCTGAACTTGCGTCTATGGATCCGCCAAACAATTGCGTGTTACTATCAGAGAAGAGCCGCTAGATTTTCAATTATTAATGAAATCAAACGTCGCAATTGTGTGCTGCAATAAATCAATCGCTCCAATCGCAAAGGCTATCAGTTAGCAAATGCGCGCCCGCTGAGCTGCTGCGTCACTCGCCGCGCGACGCTCCGCTTGCGGCGGGCCGTGCCCCAGAAGATTCTGTTGCACGTCTCCCATGTTCAAATAATGTACGCAACAAACGCTACTGAATAGCGGGATGTGCAGTGTATCTTCTTTGACTTTCGAGTGAGCTGTAGATGAGAGCAAAGAAATGCTCCAGGGTATACCACACTGCTCCACATATTGATACACTGCTTCCCAAAGTATACTTCCCATAAATCCCACAATATCCCTCTACACGACGTTTCAAAAAAAGCCTCTAGGTATAAAATGTGGTAATTACCAGTACCAAATCTGAAAATTTCTCACTCTGACAATGTCCCACTAGTATACTTCCACGCATATTTCCCCATTGCATTTCTTTTTTTTCGGGGTAAACTTTCTCATCACCACTACCTTTGACCTTTTCCAGGTTATGCGAGGTTATGGCGAGAGGGGTTCACTGTCTGACTTTGAAAAGGGGCAGATTATCGCCAAAGAAGTCTCAAGGACTGTCGACCAGTCAATTCGTAAGAGAGTTGGGCCGCAGTCACTATGATCAATCATTTTGTCAGGGATCCCGCAGGATGTGGAATCAGGAAGAGTTTGGGCGTCCTCCTTTGCTGTCTGAACGAGAAAAACGTCGTATCCTGAAAGAAGTCCAACTCCACGATGTCATGCAGGGAAATAAAGTCATCCTTGAAGCTCATTGTCCCGAAAAATACTGTTTGGCGTGCTCTTGAAGAAGTCGGAGTCCATCTTAGAGCGAGAAAATGAGGAAGCACCGTTCCTGGCAGAGAGCGAAAACCGACTTGCTTTTGCTAGAAGATGCTGCCGAAGCAACTGGAGCAAGGTTAGCTTTTGGCTGCGGGGCCCCTCTGCTTGTCTTTTCAGTTTTTTTTTCTTTAGGTCGTGTTTTCCGATGAGAAGAAATTCAACTGCGATTGCCCCAGATGGAAATCGTTTTTACTGGCACGATCTGAGGAAAGATAAGCTAAATTTTTCGAGGCGGAACTTCAGAGAAGGGCAAGTTTATGGTCTGGGCTGCGATCGCGATCAACGGGACGTTTTGAAGCTGTGTTGCCTACTCGAAGAAAATGAACACTTTCGATTACATAGAGGTAATGGCGACGAGGTCTGTTACTTTTCTGGCGAAGGATACGGCATGAAGTCCTGTATTCGTGCAAGACAATGCACCAATCCATGTCAGTCCGGAGCACTCGAGCGTGGTTCAGCCGTCATCAAATCACTCTTTTGCCTGGCAACGAATAGCCCAGACCTAAACCCCATCGAGAATGTTTGGCGCCTTCATGGTATGCAGGATATACGCGCACAATGCGCGATTCGAATATGTCCGTTCGCCTCAAGGAGGCTATCATTGATGCATGGCACCATGTCGAAAAAACACTTATAGACCGCCTCTATTCGAGCATGGACAACCGCATTTCGAACTTATTCGAAAGAATGGCGGCGCAATAGATTGTTGAAATGACGATTTGTTAAATTTGCTGTACACTTGTTGTTTTCTGAATCGATTCGTTGACTGGAAGTGTTACTTGTGGGACACTTTCAGAGTGAGAAATTTTAAAAAATTAAGAAAGTTGAAGTTGCTCTGGAAAGTCGGTTCTCGGAGTTGGCATGCAAATTGGTACTGTAAGTACCACATTTTTATACCTGAGAGTTTTTTTTTTGAAAACGTCGTGTAGGGAGGGATATTGTGAGATTTATGGGTGGAAGCATTACTTTTAGGACGCAGTGTTTCAAAAAATATCTCGAATAGAAAATAAGGTAATATCAATACCACTTTGCATGTCAACACCGGAACTAACTTGAAAGAACAGCTTTTTTTTGTTCTTTTTTTGAAAATTGGTACTCTGACAATTCCACAAAGATAGTTCCACCTCATATTTTGTCGCTGCGTCTTTTTTTTTTGTTGAGTAGAACGTCTCATCATTGTGACCTTGCCATTTCTAGGCTATGGCCGAGAGGGCATCCATTATCGCATTTGAAAAAGAACAGACAGTCGAAAAGAAGACTCAAGGATTTTCGAACCGATCAAATTCGCACGGCGATCTGGACTGCGGTCATCATGTGATCAACAAATTTGTTGCAACAACCTGCAGGATATAGAATGAAGAGAAGCTCTGGGCGTTCACCTCAGCTCTCTGATCCAAAAAAGCGGCGTATTTTTAGAGAAGCATCCAGTCCTCCAATGTGCTGGTAAATAAAGTCAACTTTGAAGGTTGATGTCTTATAGGAAACTGTTCAGCGTATCTTGAAAAACTCCTGAGTTCACCTACAGGGAAATATGAGGCAGGTTCTGCTTCTAACAAAAAACTATCGCGAAAACCTAATTGGTTGCTGAAAGATGTTGCCGAACCGTTGAAGTAAGGATGGTTTTTGGCTGAGCATGATTCACTCGTCACCAAATCGCCCTTTTGCTCTAGACAGCGAGTAGCCCCGACTTGAACCAAGTCGAGAACGTGTGGGGCTCCATAGTGCGCCAGATCTATGCGAGCAATGAGCGATTCCACGGTGTCCGTGAGCTTAAGGAGTCAATCATTGATGCATGGCAGCATGTCGAGTGAAAACTCATCTAAAACCTTTATTCGAGCACAGACAACCGCATTTCCCAGCTTATTCGGAGAAACGGAGCTCCAGTAGATTACTGAATCAACAATTCATTGATTTTGTTGTGCACTTGTTGATGGATGATCCATTTGTTTGGCGGAACTATCACTCTGTGGAACTTTCAGAGTCAGAGTACCTATTTTCAGTAAAGCGAACAAAAAAAACTGAATTTTTCAAATTAGTTTCCGGTTTTGAAATGCACATTGATATTGCTTATTACCTCATTTTCTATTTGAGGCATTTTGAAAATCTCATGTAAGAAGGGATTACGTAATATTTATGGGTGGAACTATCATTGTGGAGAACTGTACGTGTCAGCAACCTCGCAAAAAGTAATGCACAAAGCTGCAACTGAAATTGGGCACTATAACCGCAAGAGCTGCTTCACAACTTCCAAACAAACCAGTTGCTTCCAACTAATCTTTCAGGCGACGACAACTTGAAGAGCATTTATCGCTCTCTGATTATTATAAGTCTAACCATAGTGTTAGGCTATTTTACCACCAGCTGTGTATTTTTCGTAAGTGCAGCACTACAGCTTAACATCAATATGTTCTATTTGAGCCAGTTTGCCAACCTTTTTGTCACTTTAGCAACCTCTGTGAATTTCTTCGTTTACTATGCAATCAGGTCAGTGGTTAGATCACTATTGTGCAATGGTTTTGCTTTGTCTATGACATTCCAATTTACATTCATCTCTACTTACCTATTTGCTTTAGAGCTTTACTTGTGTTTGCAGCATCATGCATGCACACTTGGGAGCAGCTGGGGACGGGTCGGTGTTGCTAGCTTAATTGGTGGGAGGGCCGCAGAACGGGGTTTGGCTACACCTCACCCAGCCCTTCCACCAATGACAGTGGCAACAACTGCCCGCCCTCAGCGTTTGTGACTCTGCCTTTTATAATGAGTAAGTAATCCGCGTTATCGGATATGAAGTTTAGTGGAATTTTCGAAAGATCCAGGTGGATCACAGTCGGTATACTCATCGAGCGAAGTCAAAAAGGGAAAAAACGAAACACCTTGTTTTGAAAGAGACAAAGGTATACGACTCACCTCCAGTTTTGAGAATGAAGAGGTAGAGTCGATGACCTAGCTCAGCGAAAAGAGTTTCTGCACTATATACTTTCCCAGTGGAAATTGCTATCGACCTTCACATGTGTTGGGGTTGGTCGCAGATCACCCACAACGATCTAGCAGCCCGCCATTTTCTAGCGGCCCGCCATTTTCTAGAAATCTCCTTGGGCCTATAAAAGGGCCACATTTTGCACTGGTACTCATTCTTCTTCTCTATATTCTTCTGCTTTTCCCTAATAAATATTCTCTGGACGACTCCGGCAGCCACAACAACATGTGAAATATTAGTACGAATCGTAGTGGAGGTAAAGTGCGTAGCTCAACCATGGCTGAGATCTTCTTCGCGTCGACGCACTCTACTCTATAGGGTAGAGGACGTGTCGTAAAGGCATTTCTTTGGACTACCAGGACCTAGAGCTTTTATACGACCCTTCTCGCTCAATTCGCAGCGGCATATCTTCTTAGGTAATTGAAATGTAACAGAAGTTCAATAAAAGTTAAGAAGCGCGGGTGTCGTGGTCTCCATCAATTTCCATCTCCTCTCTGAACTCATCTGTTAACAGAGTCAAAAGCAGCGGTGAGCGTAGATAACTCGTACTCAATTCCCTTAATAGACACTCTTACGTCTACCTGGTACTCATTCGCCACAGTGACCCTACACATGCGAGCTTTTATGCGATAAAAGCCCCATGCACCTAAGAGCCGTCTGAACCAAGCTCACGCCGTGGCTTGCGATGCGTTTTTTTCTTCACCTTTTGTAGAGCTGGCATCTGCAATGCACTGCTTCTCTGCGCTACAAGTTTTCGCGCCAGGACCACCTCGAAAAACTCCACCTGTCACGGAAGCGGCATAGATTAGTGCTGGCACGGCCGCTTTCCCATCGATTGTGCCACCCTGAGTCTACATCAATGAAGTAATAAGACAGTCATAGCTACGATCCACGCTCTCCCCTTTATATGCCCTATCGTTTGCATGGATCATGACTAGATATTCCTTGAAAGGGGTGAATCTGCGTGCAGAAGAAAGTTTCCCCGTTGCCGATAACATTCTCTCCCTGGTTTCTCTTTTGCCTTTGGTTTTAAATTATTGAAATGAGTCATAGAAAGCTGAAATCTTGCGTGCCCAACAAGAGGTTTTCGTCGTCCTTTTGAGAAGAATCGCTGACGGCGGACCTTTCAATACAGGGCGCTTTCAGAAGATTCTGGAACTGCAACCCGCTCAGAACCTGTCTGGTAGAAGCTTCCTGGCAACACCAGTCGCACTTGTCGCTCCATAGAACTTGGTCCTGAGCAAGGCTAAAACTTTTCAATGAAGCTGATAGAGCACATCACTTGCGGCGATCACGACTCACCTGCTCTTCTGCTCCTTTCCTCCTCCGACGAAATAGCGTTCGAAAAAGCCCATAGATGGTTCCTGGCCTGTTTGAAGCAGAGTACAAATTGTTTACGAATGGGAAGGTGAAGTGACTTGGTGAGGTGAATTGCGTCGAATTTTCACTGCGAGGAGGACGCTCAAGATCCAACTTCTTCGACCTGCTATTGGAGTAGGTTTTTCTTTAAGTACTGCGAAGCATCCACCGCATCAATAATGTCACTTTGACACTAACCCATGGGTTCACTCAGGCTAGAATCCTAGGCTTAGATAAAAATCTTAATAATCTCATGATCCGGCCTGGATTTGTTTCTTTGCACTTTACACTGTTTTGTCGTTTGTCGTACAACTGTTTTACCGTTTGAATATAGCACCCTAAAACGGCCAACGGTCTAATGGTGTATTTACCAGATTTGACCAAAACGCAGGGTACTATTTTGCAAGTTTGTCAAGTTTTTGGAATGAGCAGAAGAGCACATGAGTCATCGCTTGCCGCCAGTCGTGTGGTCTTCCACCCCCACCCTCTGTCCTCCCCCCGCCTTCCACCGCAACCCGCAAGCACGTTAGCACCGCTAATACAGCTTCACGGCTCGCCTCGCCACTCACATCTTACATAGATGTATGTTCCTTCCATGTATGAGGGATAAGCGCCTCTTCGCTATATAGCGAGGGTTTTTATCCTAAAAGCCAATCCGTCGCATATACGGCGCAATGTAGGGTTAAGTAATTCGAAGTGAGAAGACGTAAACAAAGCTTGTCAGTGCAGTTTCTTACCTTGTTGGCACCGCCATCTTACAATTTTCTGAAGCCTCTCCCACGTGAAGGCTATTTTTTGAGCGCTCATTCATAAAGTGTCTTAAATGGAATAGACATAGGCTTGTCCACTGCGAATGGTGGGTGTGTCAAGAAGGATGGGTTCGACGCAGTGAAAGCTCGTTTCTTTCTTATTTTTCGCAAAAAGCGAGGGACTTTATTGCATAGTTTGTACACTCGAAATCTCTGAGATGAGGTAGGCGTGGCTGCGTACTTCAACTAAACGTCGTGGTGGCTATGCTTCCGGAGAGATATTTTCATTTTGACCCAAATGTGGTCACGTCTCTGCAAAGCAACAACACGATGGTGGTTGACTCAATATGAAACATGCCACGCGTAACCAGTTCTGAGCCATGTTCGAATGCCACGCCTACCCTCCTCAGGGATAAGGAGTATACCAGTCGGTTCCTAAAAATTGCTGTCGCCGTCCGGCTTCAACACTCGATGGAGAACAGGATGGTGGTGCGCCATACTCAGCCCCACTGACGCGTTCACCATTTGCAGCATCTTCTTCTTCTTCGGCGTTTGTCCCGCTCTGTGACGGGGTCCGCTCTCCTGATTTTGTTACGCCATTTATTCCGATCAAATGCCTGATCAGAGTGAGCACCAACTATCTTCAAATCCGCGTGCAGCGTGTCAAGCCAACGTTGCCTAGGGCGTCCTCTTGGCCGTTTGCCGAGCACCTCGAGCTGGAGACCAGTTGTGCAGCCGGTGTCCGCCTTCGCGCTAAGTACGTGTCCATACCATCGTAGACGAGACTCTCGCATTTTGATCAACTATGGGAGCTACGCCAAACTTCTTGCGTATGTCATCGTTGCAAATCCGATCCATACGGGTGACACCGGCCGTCCAACGTAGCATTTTCATCTCCATACTAAGGCGGGCTTCGACTTCTTTGGTTGTAGGCCAGCACTCAGCCCCGTATAGCGCTACTGGTCTGACCACAGTTCTATATATCTTCGATTTGAGGTGCTCTGGTATGGTCTTGTCGCAGAGAACTCCAGTCATCGAGCGCCATTTGGCCCATGCTGCACTTACACGAGAGTTCAGCTCTGAATCAGACTGCCATCGAACACAATTTCTGATCCAAGATACTTGAAGGCTCTTGTGCGTGTGAACTCGATGCCACTGGTCTTAATGGAATCGGACTCATTTGTATCGGTCGTCAAGTATTCAGTTTTCTTGATGTTCAACTTCAATCCGAATTTCGTCAGGCGATCAGACCAGGCTTGCACCTGCTGCTCGAGTTCTTTCTTGTCTTCACTGGCCAGCACCACATCATCTGCGTAGAGAAGCGTCCGTGGACTCGGCTTCCGGAGATCTCGTGAAATTGCATCCAAGACGACCACGAAAAGGAGTGGAGAAAGCGCAGAGCCTCGATGCACTCCTACCGTGATGGGAAAGTCCTGCGAGGTGCCTGATGGTGCATGCACGCGGCTCTTTAAGCTGGAGTATGGGATGCGCACCCACTCAATAAGCTCTTCATGAACGCCGTGTTGCCGCAATGCGTACCATATAACTTCACGCGGAACATGATCGAACGCCTTTTCTGTGTCCAGGAAAGCTAGATGCAGTGGTACTTGCTTCTCACCATGTCTCTCCAGCAGAAGACGCGCTGCATGTATGGCATCGATGGTGCTACAACCTGCCACAAAGCCGCACTGATTGATAGGTAGCTGGGCGATTTCGCGGATACGACTTCGCTTGGAAGCTGGAGCAGTCCGCAGGGCTGCCTTTCTTCTTCCAGATCGGGATCGTCGTGCTCTCTTGCCAGTCCTTGGGCGTCTTCTTCTCAGCAACGACCTGATTGAGAAATCCGTCAACCATCGTGCAGGGTACCGGCACCGCGCCTTCCACAAGTCGGCTGCCACGTCGTCAAGTCCTGTTGCTTTGCCTGACTTCATCTTTCTGAGAGCCGCCTCCGTCTCTTCTACGGTTACTTTCTGAACGGGACCGTATACTGGGGGGACGGAAGGGATGGCCGGGTACGCATATTCTACGGTTGAAATCTTCTCGAAGAAATCGTGCCATCGCCTCATCACCTTCTTTCGGTCCATCAAAAGGCGGCCATGCTCGTCGTTAACTCCAGGAAACTTCTCGATATCTTCAGCCTGACGATGCCGAGCCTTGGCAATTCGGTAGAGGTGTCGCTCACCATCACGTGAATCAAGCTCCCTACTGACATCTTTGAAGTGGGCGGCCTTCCTTGCAGCCACAGCCTTCTTCGCTACGCTCTTCGCTTCTTTGTACTTACGCCAGCTGCTAGCTGACTTGTCGGCAAAAAACGCGTGGTAGCGCCTCTTCTTTTCGCGAACCGTTTCTTTGACATTGTCGGTCCATAACACGGCTGCTTATCTATTCTACGCCTTCCCGGCTTCGTGACCCCAAGTTCGAAACGAGCGGCCTCATGTATGGCTTTGGCAGCACTTTTCCAGATCTCATCAACAGTCGTGATGGTGGGAAGTCTTATATGAGAGATTACAGCTGCCTCCTTTCCTTACAAACGCCACCATTTAATCCTCTAGAGACCACATCGCTCGGTCCGCTTGGACCGAGGCTTTGCGATCTTTAGCGTGCAGATTAGTGGGCGATGTTGTGTGGCAACTGTCTCGTACGGCACCGTCTTCGTGTCCATGATGAGCCCTTAGTCGCGGTGTCTAACAAGGACAAAGTCTATCTGCGTTTTGGCTCCCACTGTAGAAGCTGATAAGGTGGGAGTCTCGTTTGCGTATTTCGTATTCACGATGACCAGGTTATGGGCCTCTGCATACTCGAGAATTCTTTCACCGGCGTTCCGTGACCCATAACCAAAACCACCATGACAGCTGTAGCCGTCTTTCGTAGAGCCTACGTGCCCGTTAAGGTCACCAGCGACAATTACGACGTCTTCTGACGGCACCCCAGCTGTCTTCTCCTCAAGCAGGGACCAGAACTCGTCCTTGGATTGTTCGGAGCATCCCGTCTGCGGAGCATAGGCAGAGAAGAAATGGTACAGCCGCTGCTCGATATCAATAACGATCTTCATCAGGCGGTCATCGAAGCGTTCTACGCTTGCTATCGTCAGGGAGACTATTACAGCCACTCCGTTGGTGGCTTTTGGTTCGCTACACAGAAGGGCTTTAAAGCCTCGACCGATGTCCCTTGACTTGCAACTGGACCATCTTGTTTCCTGCACAGCACACAGGCCTACACGTCTGCGCTCCAGTGCCTCTACCAGCTCATATGAGCGCCCCGTCAGCGTTCCAAAATTCAACGTTGCTACGCGGACCTTTTCCATGCTGCATGACTTTTGAACTAGCCTGGTTGCCCCCCAAGCCGTCCTTGCATCAGGGACCCTCGCATACTTTCCACACTCGCCGGGCCATACGAATGCGCGTCGGCTCCCGCGGACGCCGTAGCATTGACTCGGAATTCACATGGCATACTGAACATTGGTGATGTGACTTGTGTGTTCGTAGGCCGGCCCGTCACGAAGGCCTGTCACCTGCTTTCGAATATCCGCGTTCGGCTCAGCCCGCATGAGCGGGCAGTTTCCAGTGGCACCACGTGGAGGAGCGGACTTCACCGCCCACCATTTGCAGCATATATGACTGTATACCTTACAGAAACGCTACAGTATCTGTCAGGTTACATCTAGGAACGAGTTTTATTTATCATAGTTCCCACAACAGAGTCCTTTTTTCATGAACATTTACAACCTACGCGATATATGAGATAAGTTACACCGCGCTGCGTTCCACTGAGAAAATATACTGGGGGTGTACCAGTGGACTCTTCAGCATGACGCTTAACCCTGTTTGGGATACTCTTCACAAGCACTAGACAACAAAGCCAAATAAGGCAACCGAGTGATAGACCGCCTTATAAAAGTATTTTTTCAGCTCGGAGTATCGTAGAATCTTCGACGAGCATCTTGGGATTGGTCGCCTGAAAAAACGTTTCTTCAGTGATCGTGAACGCGTGGCTGTTCAGCAAGCTGCTAAGTCTCCCTCCTTTCGTTTATCATCTAAAGGAAATGCGCTGAGCGATGTAGTTACTTAAAGGAAGTGCTCTCATGGTAAATTTGCTTGTTGCTGACCAGTATGATGTTTGAGTACTTTACTATCTCCTACTTACTTTACTACTACTACTACACATTAGAATGTATTATTTTTCGTCCTCGTCTTTCTACAAATAATGAAGCTAACATACTCTGAAACCTTTTATTGAACAAAGTAGTGACAAGTTGTGTATTTTTGACGTTTTTCAGGATTGTAGCGACAGGAATACTGAAACTACGAATGATGTTATACAATTAGCGCGCTCTAGAAGGTAGTATAATAGTTGAAGGTGCGAAATGCACGGCACTGGACGAGTTTTGGAAGTGTTTCCTGTGCCAACAACCCTTTAACAGCGGCTGCGGCTACGTATATCCAGGCAACAACATACCATAACAATTGTACTTCATAATCATAAAAGAAGCGACAAGAGTTCCAGCTTTACTGTACGGCCATTTGTGGTGCGGTGGGCGTACGGGTCAGCATGTTGTGCCTTGGATAATCGCTCTAGCGGCTCCCTTGTCTCAAAAGGGCGCCGCGCAGTGCCTTCTAAGCACACAATTTTTTGTGCTAAGCGTGTCGACTCTATATTTAAATTGATCATGCCACTTGCATTGAAGAGGTGGTTAAGAGCAGGGCACAGCATTTGATGGGGATTTTGGTCGAGCCTGTACGACCCCCCTTTTTGGGGGTTCGGTACGACCCCCCCCCTTTTACTGTTTGGCGTTACATACTTCCTGAAATTAGATATAAACAATTAGATATAAAAAATAGATATAAACACTCCTACCTAAGTTGAGTTGATTCACTTATGTGCAAGCGTTTGTAATCAAAAACAGGATGAGTAGCATAAACACAGCATAAATGCGAGTTCAAATCGAGACCTATGAACTAAAAAACGAAAAAAACAAACCAGCGGCAGCGAAAAAAAAACAAAAAGAATGCGCTAAAAAATGACATTAAACCCCGAGATTGTGGAGTATCGGTAGCAGAAATGCGTATGTAGTTGCAGGCCGTGACTGGAGATTAATTCGCAATTTTAGCACTGGAGGCGCAAACTTTCAGCAAAGTGGGGTGTCTTGAAGAGGACCATAACTCCTCAAAAGCGGATCTGTGGAAGAGGAGAACCGTAATTCGTGTAGAGGAAGGTTTGCACTTCCTAAGAAGTAGCTGAACACGTTTATGAAGGTCGCGAATATCACAGAGAAAGTCTTGCCATAAGGATTCGTTGGGCGAGTGATTTCAACTGGAACAGGTTTGAATCAATAATATATTTTTTTTTGGGTAACTCACATTTCACAAATCTGAGAACGGTTTTCGAGTGTTTGAAGATTTTCCTTTCTAAAAACCTCTTGAGCTCTTTCTGAAAGTTTCTCGGGATTAATGCAGATCTCGCATGGGAATTTCTTCTTGGGGACACTCTCCAGCTGCGCGAAAAAACCCGTCTCCCTGTGTACCGTTTCGGGTGAGCGGTTTGAATCGCTAGAATGCAGAAAAACGTATCCTGTGGAGGAGCAAGGAGGCAGAATAATGGTTCGTTAAGCGCCGGATCACGCTGTACTTTGGATGCGCGCGCGCAACTGAGGTCAGCGCAGAGGTGAAGGGATGGTGCAATTTGTGCGTAAATCGTCTGTCCCACTGCGGAGCAAATGTGTCTATAGGATTCAAGGGAGAGTCCATTGGCGAACCTGCGCGTTGTTTACAGGGTGTTTTCCCTTGCGATGATGGATGATGGAGGCGTGTCTGTGTCGAGCAGACCGCCAGATGGTGTGCTCGGCCATTGCTGTCATCGCGATAAGGAGACCAACTCTGGAAAACCATGCTGGTAGCGAACGATATGGTTAAGTCCTGATCGTTCGTGTGAAAAAAGAGGTTGGCTCAGCGCCAAGCGCTAATCGGCGACACGGGTCTCGACCCATAATGCCGCAAGAACACAGAGTATGAGTTCGTACTGCTTCAAGTCATACAACGGAATCTACGAGATAATATGTCGACTTATTATTAATAAATAATGTTTCGGTAATTGTCGGATTTTTTTTGGGTGATGGAAAGTGTTTCTAGCTATTTGCTTTTACATATCCGAGTTCTCTACAACGCGCGAGTTTCGCTAACTCACTGGACTCAGCACAGCTGAGCTTTGCGCTGCTCGATACCTAGCTACGCGCCTCATTAGGCCCCACCCCCACCCCCCGTCTCCTGGCTAGTATCCAGCAGCGCCAAAGGCTGGCGGCCAATACGAACCCCCCACCCTATGGGGATTCCGTGACGGCCTGGTCCCGAGCTGACCGCGCACTGTGAGTCCCGTATTGGGCTGCTCGAGCGGGTGAGGGGAGCCCGGGGGGCGCCGGCGGGCTGTCGAGGGCTACGAGGGCAGTCCGACGATCTCAGACCGTAAGAAGCGAATGTGATGTGGTGTGGCGCCTGGTTGGAGCGAGAGTTTGTCTGCCCGTCTGCCCTCTTAGCCCACCATAGGGAAGGGAAGGGACGCAAACTTCGCTTCCCTGTCGCCGCCAAATAAGCGTTGCAAATGCTAGGGTGTAGGCGTTGCAAGAGGTGGGGTGTTGTACGAATCGCATCAGGACCTCACCCACTCAACATGCCTGCGCTGCACCCTCACGAAGTGACGCTCTATACTCCGGTGATTGAAGCAAGAGTTGTGGGAAAGCAAAGGACTGACGTACGATAGCCCCACCGCAGCGTATTCTCGCAGAACTGCTCTGCAAAGGAACATAGATACATGATGATGAGTGATTGCAGTATTTCTATCTAACTAAGGTCGCCATGTTGAAGTGGCTATTTTAATGAGACCTAGCTCACTGAACGCGGTTTTGGACGCTGATCTCAAATCTGCCTTCGAAATTTGCAGAACGATTCTCTGTACAGAGTTATGAAGCTTTTCCCTGCGCGTCAACCACGCAGCAGGCCATGAGGTGGTATCCCTGTTGAGATTCCCTTTTTGCTTCTTGCACGAGCACGGCAAAAAATGATTTTGGCGACCCTATTATTTAGCGCTCACCTGAACTTGCCTGAAAAATGGTCTGCATGCAGTTATTGCTGCGCTTGGGCGTGTTGTGTTCTATAGGTACACTTGGGTGCACAAATGCTAGTCATGCGTTAGTTTCCGAGCTAGGCGGGTACATATTCGTGTTCAGCGGATCAAACTACTTTTAGGGGTTAAAATCCTTGCCAAATCTGGCATTATGACCTGATTTCAAAAAGTGAAGCATCCATGGGGTGCACTTCACTTTAATGTCCACGCCAATACAGCTACAGAAACACTCTCCTGCTGCAAAGCGTCTTCCTGCCATTTCTGACAGTTCCTTTCTGTTACTGCTCCACTTTAACCGATTTCTAAAAGAGAATTCTGTTCGAAAACAAGCAATAGATAAGAAACTGGTACTAGAATTACTGGTCAAGCTACTGGACCATCATGACCATTATTCAATCAACTGCTGCCGCACTTTTTCAAACTTAGGTCATAACCTCACATTTGGCTAGAAACCTGTCCCCAGGGGTAGTTTTGCTCCCTGATGCGAATATTACACCCATTTGGCGTCAGGATGTTTTCTGGACTCGAAATGAAACATCTCACAAAATGCAAAAACTTGCTCCCTCGAAACCCCATCCTCAACCACGCGATGAAGCAAGACTAGCCCACGACCCCATGCTGCCGTTGTGTGGATTTGTTTGCGCTATTCAAGCAAATCAGTCGGCTGGCAACCGCGGGTCGACCCGTTTTCCTTCATTCGAACAATCCTCCATAATTCCGTTCAGAAAGTCGTTCAAATTTTCGAAGGCAGATTTGAAATCAGCGTTCAAAAACACGCCCCTGATATGCTCTTCTTCACAGATGGCTACTTCGACCTGACAACCATCCCAGTCAGATATTTTCAAATGATGAAGCAGCAGGCCGAAACTCCCAAAAATTCGCCATCTCTGCGCTAATGTTAGTGGCAAAATAGAGTGTCATCATTGGAATAACAAAGTTTCCTCGATCGAATTCTCGCGAGACACTACGTGATAAGCATATGAGGGCAATACTGCTATGGTACCTTGCGAATCTCAGCAGTGGTTTGCAAAACGTCTCGGCACGTGCCCGTCATACTCCCTGAGCCCCAAACGGAGGTTACTCTCATCATCGACTCATTTTATAAGATGATTTGTCGCTTTTCTCACAAAAGGAATTCCTGTACCGTCAATGGCGTTGTCACAAATTCGAATATACCTCATTCCTGGAATGCTCTTGGGTGTTACCATCCACAGAAACGAAATGTTCGAGCGCTGGAAGGTTTGCTTCTGGCGTACTTAAGTGCAAACATTACAGATTTGAGGAGTCCCTCAAAGGAACGTGGATGTATCACATTCATGAAGAAAACTCGAAAAATGTGGCATTTCCTGAAGCTGAGCACCGATAGCGTGTGATTCATCACACGCCTGTCCTTCCGGAACCTCGTCTTTTACAGGGAAGGATGGTTAGGTCGAAGTGGCCTTTTGAAATGAAATGTATACCGAGTGAAAGATCTTCGGACGGGTATCACGAAAACGTTCCATATTCTCTGCGGACTTCCCCAGAAAGAAGTTGCGAGCTTCTCCAGGGGAGAATGTATTTGCATTCCAGTACGAACTGGTGGCGTAAGGCTGATGAGATTGTAGCAGCATGGCCGAGTGGATACGTCGTAGGTTCCACCAGATGGGTGGTCGAGGTTTGCGCCTTGACGCGTATGTTCTTGGGCATTTTTTCGAAAGTCGTCTCTGTGTCCAAACGACCATGACTGGAAATCGAATCCGAAGCCCGCACGAGAGTTGCGCAAGATTACCAAGCAGATGATTCCAATAATATAGTGCGTTGATGTGGCAACCATGGCTGGAGTTCGCAGATGGGCAAAAACCTTATCGCTTCATCACTCACAATTGTTGAAATGACGTCTATTTCAAAGTGGTGTAGCACCGCTGGAAATTTTTCGGCTCGTATGAAAATCTCTTCAACAGAAGTGACTTCCATGT